ACCTGAGGGGGGAGGAGGGCCTGAGGGAGGAGGAAGACTTGAGGGAGAAAGGGGGTCTGAGGGAGGAGGAGGGCCTGAGGGAGGAAGACCTGAGGGGGGAGGAGGGCCTGAGGGAGGAGGGTCAGGGCAGGAAGGCCTGGGGGAGGAGGCTTTGGGAGAGGATGGGGGCCTGGGGGTGAGCCTGAGGGGGAGGAGGGCCTGGGGGAGGTGGAGGGCCTGGAGGAGGAGGAAAACTTGAGGGAGGAGGGCCTGGGGGAGCAGGGGGGCCTGGGGGAGGAGGGCCTGGAGGAGGAAGGCCTGGGCGTCGGCCCCAGGGGGAGGAGGGCCTGTGGCATGGAGGGGGGCCTTGGGGAGGAGGGCCCGAGGGGGGCCCAAGGAGGTACAGGCTTTAGGGAGCAGGAAGGCCTGGAAGGCTCAGCACGGCCCAGCTGGCTCCAGAGGGGAGGGGCGCTGTCTCCCTGTTCATGGTGGCGAGGCTCCATCCACACTGTGCAGGGGCTCCATCTGAGGTCCCAGGGATCTGCTGATGGGCTTGTGTCCTGCTCCTTCCAGCTCAGCCCCCATCCCAGCATGCCCTCTAGCCTGGCTCTCAGTGGTGGTGGGGGGCCGTGTGAGCCTGGAGACCCTAGTCTGCAGCAGTGGGCTGGTCAAGGTCCCATCCCACTTCCCACTGGAGCAAACGGCCACATGGGGGTCTCCCAGATCTAGAAGCCAGAAGATCAAGCTGTGGGCCTCAGAGACTCTGGGGAGGGTCCTTCTTGCCTCTCCCAGGTGCTGGTACCCCAGGCAGTTTTGGGCTTCTGGGCACTGCACCCCAATCTCCACTTCTGTCTCTTTCTCTTCTTTCCCTTTCGGACACCTGTCATGGGACGTGGGACGTGGGACCCACCAGACTACGCAGGATGCTCTCGTCTTGGGATTGCTAATCAAGGCTGCAAAGACCCCACCTCCAAATAAGTTCATAGCCTGAGGTTAAGGTGGGTGTGAACTGGGTTGGATGGGTGGGGGACACCTGAGAAACTGGGGACCCTGATGGGGGAAGGAGTGAGCTTTCCGTCATGTGGGGCTGGGCTGGGCTGGGCAGGGCAGAGCACACCCCTTCTTCTGGGGGTGACTCTTCCCTCCTCACCCAAGACCCACGACCTTTGGGGGGCAGTGAGGAGAGCCCTTGAGCTGCCGGGGGACAGGCCCACCCCTCCATGCCCCTGACCCTGCCATCCTTTCCCTGCTCTGTGAGGTAGTGACCCAGTGTGTCTGAGAGCCCCAGCTGCTGGGTCTCTCACATGGGCCCCTCTATCTGCATGTCCACCTGCTGGGTCTGGGGACTTCCAGGCATAGCACATCCTCCCTCAAAGTGGTCCCCAGGCCCCTGCCCCTCTGCTGGCCTGTCTTCCCTTGAGCCTACCTGTGTGACTCCGTAGCTGTGACATGCCTTGCAGGACCCCTGGGGCCCACCTGTGTGACCCCGTAGCTGTGACATGCCTTGTAGGACCCTGTGGCCCCTTTCCTGGAAGATTGCCTCCCTGCAGCCTCAGTTTTTATCTGCGGCCCCAGACCCCCCAGGAGAGGGGTTGCCACAGAGGAATGTTGGATTATCTGCCTAAGCCTGGTGCTGGAGCAGAGGGTTGTGGCACCTCCTCTCTGTCCCATGGACACTGCCACTAAGAAGGTAAGGGGCAGCTCCTGGTGCCAGACCTTCCTCCAGGCTGAAGATGGGGCCCCTCAGCTGGCCACTGGGTTCTGTGGTGAGGGATGGGGAGGGTGCAGGGTGGAGGGAACCTGGGGGGCCCATGGGGGCGGTTCCTCCTCACTGCACAGGATGGAAACTAGGGCCTCCTGCCAAACACTGATACTGAGGTACGGGCAGGGGCTCAGGCCTGGGCGGGCAGGGGCTGCAAGTGGCCCAGGCCAGGGAGCAAGAGGGAGGACAGGGCTTGTGGGGCAGGATGGGCTGCACAGGCCACTGTGCACTGCCTTGCACCAGGACTTACCCTCCTCTGGCCTGGGGTGCACAGCCACCTGCCAGGAGCCCTCTCTGGACACCTGGGTCTCCCCTCTGTCCTGGGCTCCGTGTACGGTGGATATGCTCTGTGCATCTGGCCTGTGTCTGCATGTGTACGTGTGTGTGTGGGTGGGTAGGCTGTGTCCATGCATCTGTCTGTGCATGGGTGTGTATGTGTGCCTGTGTGTCTGTTCACATGTGTGTGTCCACACGTGTGTATGTGTGTATCTGGGTTATGTGTGTGTGGGCATGTGTGAGCACCGTGAAGATGAAGTGCTGGGCTGTCACTCTCCTCCTTTTTAGCCACCCGCCTTGCCTGCTGAGCGGCCACTGGGGCCTTTCCCGCCCCATCTCTAGCCTCCTCCAGCTGATGAGCTCCTGCTGGTCCTGCCTAGAGCCTGAGGTAGAGGGCCTGCCCAGTGTGACTGCAGCAGCCAGGTGGGTAGAGACACCGCAGGGGCTGCGAGGTACTTCCTGCCCTCCTGGGGCAGGCAGGAAGCCTGGGAACTTCCAGAATTCAGGGCATCCCTGTGGCTTGCTGGCAGGGCCACCTGGGGTGAGGAGGGCAAAGCAGAGGAGCCCCACAGGACTCAGGGCTCCGGCTGGGAGGCTGCTCAAAGCCACTCCCAGCCCACTGGCCCTGGTGCCATTCACAGGTGGGGAGACAGCTCAGGACACACAGGTGGCCACAGGCAAGTCGGGTGGCAGCCCAGCCTGGCCCTATGGGGCGGGGTAGGCGCGGGAGGCAGGAGATGGCTGGGGGATTAGGTAAGAAGGCACGGTTAGGTAATGTCTCAGACGGGAAAGGTATCCAGCTGGATCCTGCCTGCTTTCCATGCTGACTTCAGAGACAGGATGAGGTGGAAAGTGGATGGAGGAGAAGGAAGAGTGAGGAAGACAAGAAGCAGGAGGAGGGGAAGGAGGGAGGAGGCAGGGGAGGAGGGAGGAGCAGGAGGGGGAGGAGGAGGAAGAGGAGAAAGGGGAGAGAGGAAGGAGGAGGAGAGGGAGGAGAGAGAGGGGAGGAGAGGGAGGGTGGAAAGGCAAGCTAGTACCTGGACAGGCCACAGCAGGGCCCCAGGTCACCTCACTGTGGGAACTGGGGAGGGGGCCCCGGGACCACTGGGACCATGGGAGGCAATGCTTGCTGCCAGTGGGGCCAGGCCAGGCTGCACAAAGCAGGTGCTCCAGGAGCAGTCCCTGAGGAATGGGAGAAGGAAGGCACCAGGAGGACTGAGAGCCCAGCGCACAGAGGGACTGGAAGCTTGGAGGTGGTGAGCAGGCAGTGGTCACCCTGGCCCCATCCCAGGGGGCACGCAGCCCCAGCAGGGCCCTGTTCTGGGGGGGTCCCTGAGTCCATGGCCTGAGCGAACTCCACCCTCCTGAGACGGCCTCCAGCATGATGGGCTGGTGTGCTAGTGCCCTGGACGTCCTGCGGCTCGGCCTCCTCCATCTGCTGCCTCCACCCCACCTGGGCTGCCCCTGCCCCTCCCCCTGCCTGGCTGCTGTGCTCCATCTGGAAGCAGCCCTGCCCTCTGAGACCCTCCCCACTCACTGCCCAGGGGTTTCTCTCCTGGGATGGGACCCCATCAGCCCACTGTACAGCACACAGGTCATGGGGTGACACCCAGGCAGGACAGACACTGGGCAGAGCAGGGATGGGACAGTGTGCCTGGGGACCTCTGCTGCCTGAGCTCCTAGGCAGAAGGAGACATCAGCCTGGGCACAGGTGTTCTGGTTCTGCACGATCTTAGCTCTGCCTGGCACCTGGGCCTTGGTTTCCCTACGCATACCTTGGAGGTGAGGCTGGTGAGGCTGATGGTCATGGCTGCTTCATGACAGCCTGGGATTCTGCATTGGGCCAGGCCCAGAGGCCAAGTGTGAGGTGGAGCTGTGGGCTCAGGGTCACCTTCGTGTCCTGGACCAGCATTGCCCCTTGGACAGAGTGGAGGAGGGGTCTAGCAAGTTGCCATGGAAACAAGACTAAACAAATAGTTCCCCCCCACACCCCCCCCCACAACAGGCCTGCAGGGCCCCCGTGGCAATGACCTCATCTGCCCACCAACTCTGTGCTGTGGGGGGTCCTGGGCTGGCAGGGGAGCTGCAGCATCCCATGTTTGTGTTGGGCCCTTGTCCATGGAAACGGCTGGAACTTGGGGGGGGGGTGGTGGTGTGCAGAGCCCAGAGGCTCCTGCTGTGGTTATTAGCTGGGCAGAGAGGGGAGGGGGAGGAGGAGGGCAGGAGGGGATAGGAGGAGAGGGAGGGAAAGGAAGGGGGGAGGGGAAGAGGAAGGAGAGGGGAAGAGAGGGCCAGAGGGAGGGGGGGAATGAAAGAGAGGGGTCAGGGAAGGGAAG